CCTACTCATTCGTCCAGGCTCGTCCTGCTGCCTACGGGGCCCAAAATGAAGGGCGTGGCGCGACGTGAATAAACGACTCCCGGTTCCTTGGCCGGACGAGCGCATGAACGAGCTGACGGGCGGAGCGGTACCGCAGGTGCTACCACGTGGCCCGCTGCGGTCGCTCGCGCGCGCTACTGAGGATACACAACGGGACTGACAGGCACACGCCCGCCTGATCACGCCCGCTGCCCGTGCGGCGCGGAGACGCGTGGAGACCCGACACCACCCGTTCCTCGCCACCCTGAGGCCGGCCGACTTCCGCGTTGAAGCAGCCAGCGACAATCGCAAACTGGTTCGACCCCCAGACGCTGGCGTCAACGAGGCGCACCTCATTATGGAATCGGTCCCTGGCAGCGACGACAAGAGGATTCGCCCTCGAGATTGGGGCGTAGAACGCCAGCAAAGATGCGCCTCTACACCGCCTTTCCCAGGGAATCACAACACCCATCACTAGAATGCCCGCTCTCCTCCGCCTGCACCGAACAACAACCTTCGACCCCGAACCTCTCCAAGCCTCAGCCAAATTGTCTCCTCTGACGACTGATAGAAATCCACTTCTTCCTCCCTTCCTCATACTGCCTCTCCCCATTAAGTGTGAATTTCCCATCGGGAAACAAGGAAAAATCCCACTTCCTTCCGTTCAGCAGCGAGAAGACCACACCAACCTTGATGGCGGGAATCTCGTTGCCCCTCTCTAACTTACGGGCATTCCAAGTGCCACCCCTGAACTACCATGCCGTGGGCGCCTTTCGGCGACGTCCATCCCGCCGGAACACGGCAAATTTGTGCGTGGCACAGCACCGCTTGGCATTGGAAACCCGATTCTTCTTGATCCGCTTCTGTGCCCGAATCCTTAGAGCACGTTTCTGACACCGCGTTGTACATGAAGGAAACGCAGGGCCGACTACACTCACACTCGTCTCAGCAACAGCCACATTCGGCACCAACACCGACGACCGTTGGCCAAACAAAACCCCAATCTGTTACCCGGGATCCGCGACACACCCCGCAGCCCCAGGCGGAGCCGAAACCCGCACGGAGGAAAGAGCCGAAACCCCAACCGCCTCCGCGGCGTGATGATCCCGGGGAGGGTGTGCACTCCCACTCCGCGACATACCAGACGACACAGGCGAAGGCCGACCCGAGCACAACCAAGAGAACCCTGGCACAGCTGCCAGCGACCATACCCCTCCCAAGGCTCCAGAGGGGGCACCCATACTGGGGCTTGGGATAACGCCATCCGTTGCTCCCACCCCCAACACGAGTCAAGAAACACAAATTATCCCGGCAAAGCAACCTAACAGAGATGTGTATGAGCATATCTGGAAGCATTCCCCTTTAGATTCATGTAGGATTCCTGCTGTAGAATTCTGGTGTACTCGGAGTCGCAATCGCAGTCGCAATGGCAGTCGCAATGGCAACGGCAGTCCCAGTCGCAGTCGCAGTAGCAATGCCAATGGTTGCAGTAATGCCACTAGCAGTAGCAGTAGAAGGACTAGTAACAGTAATCGTACAAACGAGACACTGATATCAAATATCTTATTTATCTCCGAACGAGACACCGCTATCAAAGGATTTTGCTTCGAACGAATCATTGCTCGAATGGGGACATCGGGCAAGCAACATGTGGTACAGGAGTGGTGTTCTGGGAACACGAAGAACACGAAGTGGCCTACAATTGGCTCCGGGCATTCAGAATGTGGCCCGGGAATGGTGTTCTGGGAACACGAAGAACACGAAGTGGCCTACAGTTGGCTCCGGGCATTCAAAATGTGGCCCGGGATTGTGTTCTGGGAACACGAAGAACACGAAGTGGCTTACAGTTGGCTCCGGGCATTCAATATCATGCCCAGGAATGGAGTTCTGGGAACTCGAAGACCACGAAATGCGTTACTGTTTGCTTAAAACGAGTTCCCCGGCATCCCCCCGGCATCCTCTTCCGGATCGCGCACAGACCCTCCTGGGGCGTCATGATGCTCTCTTTTGACCCTACTAGAAACATATCAGTCTTTGCTGTTAGGTAAAACGAACACACACAGGAATAGAGGGTGGGAAAATGAGTTTGCCGACAAGCGGCCACGAAGAGGCCTGTGCACCTGCTCGTCCACTACCACAACAGCGAGTACGACTGATACTACTACTACTACTACTACTACTACTACTACTACTACTACTACTACTACTACTACTACTACTAGCACTACTAGTACTACTACTACTACTACTACTACTACTACTACTACTACTACTACTATACTATACTAGTACTAGTACTACTACTAGTACGAGTACTACTACACTACTACTACTACCTACTACTACTACTACTACTACTAGTACTACTACTACTACTACTACTACTACTACTACTACTACTACTACTACTACTATCTACTACTACGACTACTACTACTACTACTACTACCTACTACTACTACTACTACTACTACTACTACTACTACTACTACTACTAGTACTACTAGTACTACTACTACTACTACTACTACTACTACTATACTACTACTACTACGACGCTACTACTACTACTGTTGCTACTACTACTACTACTACCACCACTACTACTACTACTACTACTACTACTACCACTACTACTACTACTACTACTACTACTACTACTACTACTATTACTATTACTGCGATTTCTTCTTCTACTACTACTACTACACTACACTACTACTACTACTACTACTACTACTGCTACTACTACTACTACTACTACTACTATTACTACTACCACCACTACTACTACTTCTACTACTACTACTTCTACTACTACTGCTACATGGACTACGACGACGACGACGACGACGACGACGACGACGACGACGACTACTACTACTACTACTACTACTACGACGACTACTACTACTACTACTACTACTTCTACTACTTCTACTACTACGACTACGACTACGACTACGACGACGATTACTCCTACTACTACTACTACTACTACTACTACTACTACTACTTCTACTTCTACTACTACGACTACTACTCAACTGCTACTACTACTACTACTACTACTACTACTACTACTACCACTACTAGTACTACTACTACTACTACTACTACTACTACTACTTCTACTACTACTACTACTACGACTACTACTACGACGACTACCACTACTACTACTGTTACTACTACGACTACGACTACGACTACTACTACTACTACTACTACGACGACGACGACTACTACTACTACGACTACTACTATTACTATTATTATTCCTACTGTCGCTCCTACTACGACTGTTACCGTCATGTCCACTATAAAAGCTACTGCCGCAATTATCCCTATTACTGCAAGTACGACTGCGATCACCACTGCCCCTTCGATGATAATTACTACCGTTGCCACCCCGTCAATACTTGATGATTTTCGGGCTGATGCTTCCGTCTCTGTTTTGAAGGAATGGGTTTGATTTCGGGTTCCGGTTTGCCGTCGAATCCAAAATATCCCAGGACACGTGAGAATTGAGAATCATCAGGACGCCAATACGAATACAATCGGAACACCATGATATTACAGGGCATATATGAAATGATCACATTAGGAGCGAGATACACTAGGAAAACATGAGGGCTACAAGATGATAGGAACACAGCATCAGTATTTTAGACTTGGAACACAATAGGACTACACTAGGAATAGAACGCTGAGGAAACCTCAAGGATGCCGAGGAAGCTTGAGGAGCCCTGCGCGCCAATTGGATTCCGAAAGAGATTATCACAAGGTCGCCTCTACGGAGGGCGCTTCGACGCATGACCCAAGAGTTCGTTGACATCCCTAGTGCGAAACCACTACGGGCCGAATTGGAGTCAAGTCGGAAAACTACATGATTTCAACAGGGAGGCGTCGCATTGGATTCCAATAGGGCGTCAATAAGATTCCGATTATATCCCATTAAAAATGCTGATTTCCGATAGCTAAGATCAAACGGGAACCCACAGCGGTGACAATGGAAAAGAACCGTATTGGACTCGATAAGGATTCCACTAGGATGCCCGTGGTATTTATGTTGGATTCCCATCGGTCTACAGGTAGATTCCACCAGACCCCCCGATAGCGCGAATGTGAAGAATCCCATAGAAGATTCGGTTCGGAACGACATGGAATTCGAACGGGAAGAGGATTCTGAGCACGACAGAATCCGAAAGGAACCATCATACTTTTGGAAAATATCGTTCACCACCAGCATTTCCTCGGAAGTGTACACAAGAGCGAGCGACCTTCCTCAATGCAACCCTTGGAGGCTTCATGGCTTTTGGAATCCCGTTAGAATGATGATCCACGTAAATATCCCTTGAAAACCTCTTGCCGGTGGTCTATCGGGGACGGCCAAGAGGGGGGCGTCCAAGAGGGGGGGCCAGGGACGTAATGAAACAAGAAAAGGCGCCATGAAATCTGGGGAAATATCATGGCCCACGCCATAAGATCCACCCCCCCCTAGTCATCACCCCCCTCTTTGCCGCCTCTGAGACCATCCCTTCGCATCATTTTGAACTTCCACAAGGGAGCCGTCGCTTTTACCAACCCTTTTCACCGGGGAGCACTCCTCTCGCCCACTGAGCGAGGGTTCGGGGGAGTTCTGGGGCAGAACTCCCCCTGAGGAGGGGGTTTAAAACCCCTCCTGGATGCGGTCCAAGAAGATAAGGTCGGAGGATCGCGCCGCATCGCCGACTCATCCACGATGCATCGGCGATTCATCGGCGATGCATCGGCAGTGCACCGGCGATGCATGCATTGTTGTCGACGTCGGCGGTGCATCGGAGACGTCGACGTGAAGCAAAGCGGGCTCCGCGTCGAGCCGCAGCGGCGATGCCTCGGCGATGCGGCGCGATCCTCCGACCCCACCGAGGCCCCGAGCTCGGGAGGGCCCCATACGCCACGATCGCCGCCGCCGTCGTCGAGCCGTCGACGGGCCCCGCCTTCACCGCCGCCGCGGCCCGGGGGCCGCCCCGCGGCCCAGGGGTCTGTCGGCTGGGTCGTCGGCAGCGCGAGCCCGCGGACCCTGCCCAACGCCCGCGCTGGCATCCTCCATCGCGCCTCCTCGCCGACCCTCGACGGTCGAACAGGTGCGCGGTCGGGCACCCCCTGTGCCCTTGGACAAACTGCCATCCCCTGCTCCACGGAAGTTCGCCAAGATCTGAATTGGAACTCTGCTCTGTATAGCTCTGCTCAAATCTCCTCTGTCCTCTTCCACGTCCGCCCCCCCGCAGGCGGATTGCAGTGGGAGAGCCACAATGCTGGAAACACCCTCAGGAAAACAAGCACGCAAACAAAGAATCCAAAGTGGTGCTGCTGCTCCTCATCCTCCCCCTCCACTCGCACTTCGATTTTCCGCTGCCCCCCCCTCACGGAGGGCGAGGAGGACAAACAGGCATGATGGAGGGAAGGATGCCGTCGGGCCTCAGCATCCTCTAACTTGGATCACTATGCCCCTTCTCCTGATCAAGGACGGGAACGGAGAGGAGGGAGAGAAGGAGCATGAAGAGCATGTCCTCTTCATCCTTCTCTTTCCCTTCCTCCTTCACTTAGTCTTTCTCCTCGTCCTTCTCTCCTCTTCTTCCCCCTCCTTGTCTTCTGGGGGGTTACATGTAGATTACTTTTTGGCGTGGAACTGTTGCACGTCGATCTCCCCCTGTATGACTACGAAGAGAACAGTAGGAGCGACGAGGAGGAGGAGGAGAAGGAGGCGGAGGGTGAGGAGTAGGAGGAGGAGGAGGAGGAGGAGGAGGAGGAGGAGGAGGAGGAGAGGAGGAGGAGGAGGAGAGGAGGAGGAGGAGGAGGGTGCTGTGTAAGGAGGAGGAGGAGGAGCAGGAGGAGAGGAGGAGAGGCGGAAGAGGAGGAGGAGGAGGAGGAGGAGAAGAAGGAGGAGGAGGAGAGGAGGAGGAGTGAGGAGGTGGAGGTAGGAGGAGGGTAGGAGGAGGAGGAGGAGGAGGAGGAGGAGGAGGAGGAGGAGGAAGAAGAATAGAGTGAGGAGGAGGAGGGAGGAGGATGAAGAGGAGGAGGAGGAGGAGGAGGGGTGAACGGCGAGAGGGGGGTGAAAGGGGGGGAAGAGAAGCGAGAGGAGTGAGAGGAGGAGGTAGGAGGAGCAGGAGGTGGAGGTGGAGGAGGAGGAGGAGGAGGAGGAGAGGGAAGAGGATGAGGATGAGGATGAGGAGGAGGAAAATTTATGTGACCCAAAAGAAGGTCCAGCTGAAAGAGATGGTGCCATAGGTTTGGGGCAATTGTATTGCAAATGTTTTGCGCCGGAGAGTTACAGCTGCGCCCTGGAATGCATTTCACACCACAGGTCTGTTGCAACCCGGCAAATCTGTTGCACCAGATCTATTGCAGCACCCTCTTTTCGTTGGTCCCCCTTCTTGGTTGAACCAGATAGAGAGGAAGAGGGTGGCGCTGGAAATCCCAAAATGCACACCGCGCAACCAAACGAAACAAATTCGCCGGCCCAACGGGCCAGGGCGTGCTAAAAGATCTCCGGTAACTGGTTAACAGTATTAACAGTATTTCTAGTTCGCGCGCGCGGGGCGGCCCCTGGGGGTCCCCCGGCGAAAAGTACCCCGACCAACGCCCGGTCGCCGCCCGACCGCCGCCCGACCGCCGCCCGACCAAGTCTACTCAGAGATGGTTTTCCTTCTGGGTGCGGCCTCTCAGGCTCCCCAGAGCGCGCTCAGAGTGCCCCAAGAGGCCCCCAAGACTGCCCAAGAGGCCCCCGAGACGCCCAAAGAGCGCTCGAAGACGCCGAAGATGACCCCAAGACGGCCCAAAAGGCCCCCAAGACAGCCCAAGAGGCCTCCAAGACGCCCCAAGAGCCTTCCAAGAGGCCTCCGAAGAGAGCCCCAAGAGGCCAAAATCGTTGATTTTCATCGTTTTTTTCTATGTTTTTTGTGTTCTGGCTTTTTCGGCTTCCGGACGCTCCAAGACGGCCCAAGAGGCCCCCAAGACCGCTCCAAGACGGCCCACGAAGCTCCCAAGACGGCGCCGAAACGACCCAAGAGAGCCCTCAAGACGGCCCAAGTGCCGCCCAAGACGGACCAAGAGGCCCCAAGACGGGCCCAAGAGGGACTCAGGAGGGATACCGAGAACTCAAAAATGGAGCCCTCCGTCCCAGAAGGCGCCCAGGAGGTCCCAAAGAGGCCCCAAGAGGCCTCCAAGAGGCCCCAAGATGTCGCCAAGAGGCCCCAGGAGACTCCCAGGAGGCCCAAAAGAAGCCCCAGAAGGCTTCAAACATGTCTCCCAGGCGCCCCCGAACGGCCTCTCAACAGACCCCAAGAGGCCCCCCAAAGAAGCATCTTGACGACGACTCTATTTCGCCCCATCGAGAGACGACCCCCAGGGAACTGCTTCACCATCAAAACTCCCCACGCAACGCGTCCGAACGACACCCGCCCCCAAGAGCGCAACATGGGCAACGAACACACAGACAAAAACCAGCGATGCCATATCACGGGCCGGCGGAATGAGCGAAGCGATTCAATAAACTCAAGTGTTGGCGGCAGGAGCTGTGCGACAGCCACCAGGTGGAACACAGAAAAGGTCTCAAGGACAACACGAACACGTCCACAGAGAATGCGGGGTCGCCCTTCGCACGTCCAGGTTGTCCCTGAGATAAATGCGTTTGTTTGTTGACTATTTCTAGTGGTGTTCCCGAAACTTCTGCCGCCAGTAATCTAGTTCATCTGCCTGGTTTGTTATTCTTCCTAAATATTCGGGAGGGGGCAGCGCCATCCTCCCCCTCCTTCTCTCTCCTCCTCCTCCTCCTCCTCCTCCTCCTCCTCCTCCTCCTCCTCCTCCTCATCCCCTCCTCCTCCTCCTCCTCCTCCTCCTCCCCCTGCTTTCCTCTCACTATTCGATCCTCGCTCCTCGTCCTTCTATTCTTCATCCTGCTAACTCCCTTTCGCGCTCCTCTGTCTCCTCCTCCGTCCTGCCCCCCCCCTTCCTTCACGGAAGGAAAACATGTGTAAACCCTCCACACAAAAGAGTCTACGCGTACCCACCCACCCCACACAAAAAAAAAACGGAAGGAGGCGCAACAAGAGGAGCATTCTGAGCACGGAAACGAAGGGGATGGATGGAAAGAGAAAGTCGCTTACAAACAATGGCCAGGAAGATGGCCATCGGGAGCCCATGCCAAGAACGTGTGACCACTGCACTTGCCTCGGTCGAAGCTCCCGTGCAGCCCGCTCGGGCTTCCTGGCAACGAATCAGGGGCGCAGGGATGCCCGAACGCCCACGTACACACATACGCATGCACAACAGCACAAAGCTGCATTGACGCTTCGCACCAGGAGCGTTGGTCCTTCAACTGTCGCACGCTGGCGGCACTATCATGCTAGAGGGAGGGAGCGAGAGAGAGAGAGGGTTACAGTGTGAGAGAAAAAGGAAGAGAGTGATAGAGAGAAAGGGAGAAAGAGAGATAGAGAGAGAGAGAGAGAGAGACAACACCACTATACATAGACAGAAAGAGCGCAGTCGAGTTATAATCAAAATTATACATACACACTCCCCGAACAGTGCTGGTACTTAGGGGGCCCTACCTCTGTTCTGCGGAAGTGGGCCTGCATGGCGGACTGGCAGCAGTGTTGCCGTCGTCGCCGCGCCGTCGCCACCTCGTCACCGCCAGTCGTCTGGACTTGGCTGGCGGCCTGGCGGCTATGCTGACGCCGTCGCCGCCCCGTCGCCGCGTAGATTGCAAAACCTAGGTTGCACCGCGTATGCTGCACACCAAAGATTGCAACCCAAAGGCTGCACCGCGTATATTACACAACTTTTTTTGTACAACATCAATTATACCAAATCCCACCAACCCTCTGGGCGTCGGTGGTTTAGGGCGTTACCTCTTCCACCCCTCCTTCTTCCCCTTCGGGGAGGGGTTTACTCCTCCCCCTACCCCCTCCCCATGGACCTGGACAAAGGGGTTTCGCGAGTCGTCAGAGCGTCTGAGATGGCCCAGGTTGGTTCCAAGAGGGCCTCCGAGAGCCCAAGATGGCCTCGAATATGACTCAAAATTACGCAAGATGCCTCGAGATATCTCCCAAGATGCTCCAAGACGCTCCAAGACGGCACCAAGACGGCTCCAAGTGTCCACAAGAGCTCCCCAAGGATGCCCCCAAGAAGCCCAAATGCTTCAAAACCCGTGGGGAAATCATTGTTGTTGGCGTTCTCGCCTTTGCGCTTACAGTGCCCATCCGAAGCTTCACCTGGGCTCCAAGATTGCCCGGGATAGCCCCAACAGGGGCCCAAGAGAACCCCAAGACGGCCCCAGGAACGCCCAAGAGCGCTCCACGAGGCAACTTGGGGGGCTCTAGAAGGGCGACGCTAATTGAAGCTCCCCCCTTATGTGATCGGCGTTCTCCAAAAGGGCCCCAAGAGACGTTTTGGACCCTCCTCTTGGGCACTGCGTGCGGGCGGGCGGGGCGCCGCACGCCAGCCCACAGGGCCAACGAACCCACCAAAACGCCCCAAGAGAACTCCAAGACGCCACCAGAGGAGGAAGAGGAGTAAGAGGAGGATCAGGAGGAGGAGGAGGAGGACGAGGAGGAGGAGGAGGAGGAGAGCAGCTGCCGATCGTCGGCGCTCTTCGTTCGAAAACCTGGTGTAGGATGGGATGGTGAAGATATTTTTTCGTCGCGGCCGCAGGCGAGCGCGCCAGCAGCGTCAAGGGTCGGGCAGGCTACGCGCGAGCCTAGTTGCCTAACGCTCCGACAAACCGGCGGCCAAAGCAGCACCTAAGCTGATCGGACTGCGCAAGGTGGTGCGGGCTGCAGCTGCCAGGAACCAGGTCCAGGAGGGAGCGCATGCATAATTAGCCAACCGAGGTTGGAGCGCAGCCAAAATGGCGCGGGAGCGATACGAGGATGTAGCCAGGAGCACCATCACGTGAGAACGCTGACGCCAGCTAGGCCAGGAAAAACTCACTGACCAAGAAACTAGTGCATGGAAGTGGCGCCACCAAAGTCGCAAGCAACGAGACTCCTGAAGGGAGCACTGATCGGGACGCTTGTCGTC